TAACAAAATGGTAGACTTTAAATAAATTAAACAAAGTAGAAAGAAACTGTTAGATATGTTATTGTTGTTGGAGAAGATGACCAAAAAAAAATAGTTTGTGTTGGTACTTTATTCATTGAACGAAAATTTATTTGGAACGGAGGGTTAGTTGGACATATCGAAGATATTGAAGTAACACAAAGCAGAAGAAATCAAGGAATTGGTAAAGGGTTAATTGATTCACTGTTAATTATTGGAAAAGATGAAGGGTGTTGTAGAATTATTTTAGACTGTAAAGACAGAGTTAAAGGATTTTATGAAAAATGTGGGATGACATACAAGGACAACTGTATGGCAATTTATTTTAATAAATAAAGGGAATTTTTAATGAAAATTATTCAAAAATATCACTTTAAATGATATAAAATTAATTCATTTTTTAACTAAACTATAATGAATAATAACTCAATTAAAAAAAGGTATAATAAAACTAAAAAATAAGTTAAACAAGTGTAATAATTAATTAAATAAAAACTTCTTTAATGAGTCAAAATAACTATTATAACTTTTTAGTTCTAAGAAAATTATGAAAAAAGACATACTTCAAAAGTGAAACAAGAAATTTTTAAGATAAAAACTGTTATTATCAAAAAAAAAAGAAGATTAATGGGAGTTCCTTCATTATACCGTTGGTTATGTAAAACAGTTCCTAACCTTTCAAGAAGAGCTATAGAACATTTTGATATTGACCTAACACGTAATAATCCAAATGGAAGAGAATTTGATAATTTATATATTGATGTTAATGGACTAATACATAATTCTATTGACAAACAAACTATTGAAGAAGTTATAGAACATATACAAAATCAATTAATGAGAATTATTATGATAGTTAGACCTAGAAATTTACTTTATATTGCTATTGATGGTGTATGTCCGATTGCAAAAATGATTCAACAAAGAAAGAGAAGATTTACTACTGATTGTCTTGAAGGAAATGCTATTACTCCAGGAACTGAACTTATGGAAAAAATTAGTACTGGAATTGAATCATTTATTTTAAATCAAATGAATAATAAAGGATTAGATTATTGGAGAAGAGTTAAAGTTATTGTTTCTGGTGTTCATGTTCCAGGAGAAGGAGAACATAAAATTATTGAATATATTAGAAGTCAAGAACGAACAAATGAAAGTCATGTCATTTATGGAGAAGATGCAGATCTTTTATTGTTAAGTTTAGTTCTTCATTATGACTCAATATTTATATTAAGGAAAGATACAAGACAAATATTTGATAAAAGTAAAAAAGGAAGTAAACCAGCAAGAAATGGAATAGGAAAAAGTAAAGTAATAAAAGACAAAATAAAAAAAATTGAAAACGAAAAGGTTGCAAAAGAAAAAAAAGAATTAAAAAAAGTCTTTGGAAGTGATGATGATGAATTTTTAATTCCTTTTGAATTTGCTAATATTTCTCTTATTAGTAAAAGATTATCGGAATTGTCTAGTCAATATGGAAATCCTATTGAAAGACTGGAATTAGAAAATGATTTTATTTATTTAATGTCAATTGCTGGAAATGATTTTCTTCCAAATATTGAAGGAATTGATATTTATGCAGGAGCATTAAATACAGTGTTAAGTACTTATTTCCAATTACATTCAAAAGGAATTAAAATTACAGAAAATGGAAAAGTTAATAATAATGGTGTTCATACTTTTTTTATAGAATTGGTTCAATATGAACAAAAATTAATAGAGAATCAAATGAAAACTAGAAGAGGTTCTGCTCAACCAATTTGTGGTTTTGTTAATATTGATACAAATAAAACAATTAAATTAGGACAATCAGGATACAAAGAACGTTATGTTCAAACATATTTTATGAATAAAGAAGAATATATTAAAGACACTGTTAAAAGTTATTTAGAAGGAATGAATTGGGTTTTTAATTATTATTGTGGTAATACCTTTTCATGGAAATGGGGTTATAAACCTCATTATGCACCATTACTATGTCATTTTGTTGACTACTTTCAACCAATAGAAGTTACTACAATAGCAGAAGATGATGGTCCAGTTCATCCTATAGAACAACTCATTGCTGTTTTACCTCCTAAAAGTATTCATCTTATTCCAAAACCACTTCAAGCAATTTACAACCTTCCAGAATTCAAAAAAACTATTCCAGAACATGTGATTATTGACGTACATGGACAAGATGTTTCTTATAAAGGAACACCATTAGTTGGATTCCCAGATATATCTCTTATTCATCAATATGTAGAAGAACATATCAAAGAATTAAATAAACTTGAATTAATAAGAAATCAATTATCACAAGAAGTATTGTTTGTTTATTATAAAATACCAAATTTCAATACAATTATAGAACCTACAGTAATTGATATTAAACATAATGAAATAAAAGGAATATTAAAAGAGATGAAATACTCTTTGCATTCATTCTATTATCCAATTCAACATGGAACAATAAAAGAATTACAAAACGATTTGATACTTGGGTATTTTTTTACTCATTCACCTCAATAATTAGTTGGTTGATGATTAGTTTATATTTAACTGGTTTTTAATATCTCGGATTTTTCCTTCTAAAAAAAAATCAAACAAAAAAATTAAATTCAAAGTGGTTTTAAGCTACTAAATAGAGTCTTAAATACTTTTGTTTCAATTATGCCACGTTATGCTTTCGTTAAATTGAATCTTAAAAAATAAGAATATATCCAGAAAGAAAATGTCTGTGGAAATTGAATATTGTTCTACTGTGAATACTAAAGAAGAAATTATTAAGAAAAGTGAAGAGCTAAAAGAGTGGATTGATAAGGCTATTAATGAGAAATGGAATCCTTTATCTTATAATAATCCAGAAATTACTTTAGTAGACCAACCTCAACAAGAGTACAAACACCTTGTAATGAGTAGTTGTATTATCAATGCCAATATCGAAAAAGTATACGACTTCCTTATTCATTCTACTTTTGAAGAACAAAAGAGATATGATACTGACCTTCTTGAATTTGAACGTGACCAACGTTTTGAAGATGAGGGGTGTGAAATAGCACGTGTATGCTATAAAGCTCCATGGCCAGTAACTGCTCGTGAATTTGTTGGAGTTCAAAATTGGTTCCAAAGAGATGGAAAATACTATCTTCTTCAAGAATCAGTGAATTATCCAATTAAATGGACAGCACCAAATAAAAATTATGTCCGTGGTTATAAGAAAAGTGGGCTTGTTTTAAAACCACTTGGTGACAATAAGATTGAAGTCCATAGGGTTGTAGTTATTGATGCACGTGGATCAATTCCTGGATGGTTAGCTGGAACTGCTAAAAAAGATGATGCTGGACGTTTGTTTGAGATGAAAAAGTATTTTGAAGCTAATTTTGCTTAGAACTTAAAACATACTTTTTACAATAAAAGAAAATTATTTTTTTTTTTTTGTTTATTTTTTACTTCTTAAAACTATAAAAAACCTATTGAAAAAAAATATCTAAAAAAGAATAAGAAGTACTACTGTGTGAATGAAACCATCTCAATTGGTACAGCCAACCGCATCATACGGCTCTAGTTATCAATACAATTTCCTATTAGATAAATGTAAAAGTATTAGTGATATAATTACTGGAGATATATTAACAAATGTAATTGAACTTGTTCAACAGCTTAACTCTATTATTAGTGAACAAAAACATTACCAAATTGCCGTAGAGAAATGGTTGGCACGGTGCCTTCCTTTTGAGAATGAAAAAGAGATTTATGAATTTGTTAAAGAATTTAAAATCTCATCAACAATTGAACACAATATGTTAACCAAACTTAATTCAAGTAAATGGAATAATATTAGAAAGAAAGGAAATCAAAACGTATTCACTCCTAAAGTACAATTAACAAGATCAGTAACTGACTCATTAGAAAAACAAAGAATGGGTTCAAATATAAATTTTTCTGATGAAAGTCCACAACTTCCAAATGAAACATACGTTCCTTCAAGAAGTGCAGACAATTGCATAGAACCACAAAAAGAAGTTAGTCTTCAATTAAATGCAAAAAGTTTTGTTCCAAAGAGAAAGAAACAACAAATAGAATTTGAAAATGCTGATGTTGTTGCTGATTTTCTTGGAGAAGAAGTTATTAACGAACCAACAAAAACTGAGCCTAAAGAAGAACAACAAACAAAACAAGTTGCTATTAAATATTCTTTTGGTAGTAAATCATTTGTTCCAAGAAATAAAGTAAATGTTCCTCAATCATCAAGAAGTCCATCATCATTTAATTTTTATAGTAAGAAGTTTATACCAACAACAAAAAGAAAACAAATGATTATTCAACCAGATTCTGTAGCACAAGAATTTATTAATTCTCATATTAATGAATTAAAAGAAGTTCTTCATTGTGACCAAATGAATTTAATTTATAATGGAACTAATTTTGTTGGACTTGAAAAGATTATTGATTTAGAAGATATTGTTATTGTCTTTATTACAGAAAATGATAGTTTTGGATTCCAAATGAATGGTTCTAAAAAAATAACACCATTTATTCTTCAAAACCCATTTGATCTTATTCCTGTTAGATTTGATCCAAAAGTAGAAATGAACTTTAATATAGAACTTAATATAAAACATGAAATAATGGAAGTTTGGCACTTTATCCGATTAACAGGAACAACAGCATTTATTTCTGATGATTTTAATGAATTTTATAATGACCCAACGGAAATTGGGTCTGATGTTTTTACAGGAAGTCATCAACCAGATACTTTTAAAGTATCTCATTTCCTTGCATTTTCAACCATTTAAAGACGTCAACAATTTCATAATGAAATCAATTCTTTATTCTTTTAGTTTTATTATTTTAAAAGATATTTAGAATATAACTAAAGTAAAAGAAGAAATTTGATTGAATCTAATATTCATCATATTCTACAAAATTGTTTAAATTCTTTGGGTCAAGAATATCTAAATGTTCTTGAAGTACAGCAGCTGCGTACCCAGTTCTTCCCATTCCTAATGAACAACGATAGTCATAAGCCATTTGAAATGATTCTAAGGCTTTATTTTTACAATATTCATACAGATCTGGCATAATTTTAGAATATTTTATTAAAGCAACTCCATACTGTTCTAATACAGCAGCAAATACTCTTCCATGACTAAATTGAACTTGATACTTTGCTACTGGAATTAAATATTGTTCAAATATTTCTAAAGGATTAGGACAAGATTTTAAAGAAACATATTTTCTCATTGCTTTAAATAAGAAAAGGTGAGTATCATGCATTTTTCTTAATGGATTATAATATGCTTTATGTCGTTTTAATTTTTCCATGTCAATTATAAAGTCTTCTTCTTCATTAAATTGATTTATTTCTTCTTCTGTACAAATATATTCACATGAATGGCATTTATATCCTTCTGGTTCTGGATATATTATTCCTCCACAAGAACATTTAAATGCTCTCCATGGATCTATTGGTCCACTACATAATGGACAATCACAAATAAATCCATAATTGTCTTGGAAATATTGAATTCTTTTTGGACGGATAGAAGGGAATGTATATGAAATTGTAATTTCAGTTCCTTTAGGAATATCTACTAATGCTGTCCAATACATAACGTCCCCAACAGTATGCCATCCAATATTTTCTTTACAAGAATGATTAGCAAGACTACAAGCAATAAAAACAGCATACCCATCAATAAAATCTAATGAAAATGAATTAGTATGAATACCATTAACAATACGTTTAATATCTTCAAATTCAACAAGGATTTAATAATGTCTTATCTTCTTTAAAATCTTCATAAATAAATTTAACATGTTCACTAAATTCTTCATCTCTTTGATGGTTCTGTGCTAATTCTGTTGCAAATTTAACACTACAAAATGCAGTATTATCATAAATACTTCTTACCATATAATAAGTTGAATCTTTATTTGATTCACTATCTTCTTCTCTTCAAAAAAAATTGTTGCTTGTTCTTTAAAAACAAGTTCTCCAGCATGAATATCTTCTACTGCAACAAGCCCCCTGCCTTTACCAGGAAGTTCTTTTATCTCAAACTTTTTTTCTGGAAATTCTTTCTTGTAAACTTCTTCGTAAGAATTATAGTGAGGATTTTGTGAACGATTAATAGGGTCTTTTCTTGAAGGAATTTTGACATTGTAATTATTGTCATATTTATTTCTTAAAGAAGGATATTGTTTAATAAATTTAAATGATTGCATTTCTTTTATGTACTTTACTAAAAACAAAATATTTATAGTTCTTGGTTTTATTGTTTTTTAAATTTTATTTCTGTTATTTACTCTTTTTGTTTTTAAATATCATTTTTATATTTTATTAATAAAAATAACATTATTAGAATAATTAAAAGACAAAAAGGAAAACTTTTCCATTTATCATAATAATACCCAAAGTGTAAATGTCTCAAATAGTTATCATTTATACAACTCTTTATTTTTTTTGTTAATCAACAAAAATACTTTTACAATAAATCTTAAATTAATTTAAAAAAATAACTAAATTTAAAATAAGAAATTATTATAATACACTTCATTTAAATTTATTGTTTCATTAATTCAATAGTATCAAATTGTTTCAACATTTTCTCTAGTGTTTCTTTATTTTTGTCTAATATTTGAAGGACTTGACGAACATTAGAAATAGTAACGTCACAATTACTTGTAATTATTTTTTCAATTGACCCATTAAGTCTTAAAAATAATTAATAACATTATTAATAGTTAGAATGAATATATTAAACAAACACATTATAATATCTTAATACAAAGAAAATAGTAACTACTGCAATAGTATTTGGTTTTTTTCCTTCTAAAATGGATTGAATAGGTTGTGAAATTTTTAGTGCTTGGTTAATATAATTATTAAAATGATTAGAAATACAATATTTATTAATTAGACTGTTAAGTAAATTATTACCGTTTCCACCTGTTTTTATTTCTGGAAGAAGTTTTTCAAGTAATTTATAACCATAAAGAATTTCTTGTTCTGTATGGTTAATACTTTTAGAAATTTCTTTGATCGTTAATCCATTATTGTCTATTTTACAAATATGATATACTATTCCAAGTAATACCTTTTCTAACTTTTTTCCTTTTACTCTTATTGCTGTCCCATTTATTTGTTGGTAAATCTCTTTTCCTTGTTTTAATTGAATTTCATTTAAATTTATTTGTTGGAAATAACGTTCTAGTGTATTGATTACTTCATTTTTTTTCTTTTGTCTGCCTTTACTAATTTATTACTTCTCCTAATTAGTCTTCATCTAAAAAAGGTACACTCAAACTGTTCTTCAGGAATGTATTCCATTGCTGATTTATCTAAAACAATTCCACAGTTTTTACAAAAAATAATACCATCTGCATTTACTAAATTTTAAATTTGTTTTTTTCATATATAAGTAAATAAAACAGTAGCACAAACTCAAAGGCTCACATAACTCTCCAACTTTTTCTTCACATAATGGTATTTTTCTTTTAAAATTCATAGAAGTCTAGTCTTAATCTTTATGAGATGATTGATTTAAATATCAAACTCCGCCACGTGGATAAGTTTTAAATAAAAAAATGGTATTCATTCATTATTTGATAAGTTTTATCTTATCAAAAAATGTAAGTTTTATTTTTAGATAGTATTTTTATTGTATTCTGTGGTTTCAACGAATTTATCATAACAATAGAAATGCGTTTTTTATTTTTTTAATGAAAGAACTAAAAAAAAGAAATAAAACTAATATTTAAATTTAATTAAATAAAATAATTATAGTAAAATTAATAATAATGTATAATACGACAGGCATGATAGTCCTTCAAAGACAACAAAGTCAAAACTGGTTTAACTAATAAAAAAGTAATGTTTGTTTTCTTCTTATTGATAGGTGTTGTGATTAGTATCACACCATTACCTGGAGGAGAAAGAGATATCAATAACCTTGATCAATATAATAATAAATGTCGTATGCATAATGTTCCTGGATGTACTGCACCAGCAATTAATATGAAATCAGATGGAACGTTATATCTAACTGACGCATATCCAGCACCTGAAAATATGATTGAAATTTGTATTTCTGAACATCCAGAATTTGATCCAAATGTTACTCTTGGACATAAAACTTGTTGTGATCAATATTCTGTTTTAGATTTAAAAGAACAAAGTACTCTTCTTGATGGTTCATTTGGTAAATGTCCTGCATGTTATTTAAATCAAATGAATTTATGGTGTGGATTTGCATGTGATCCAAACTCAGCAAGATGGACTGAAATTGATGATTTTAAACATGATAATACTTGTAATGAACCAGATGGAATTGATGTCCCAAGTTTATATTATTATCT